TGCCTTCTAAAAATCCTCTTGTACTGTCTTTTCTTTGTTTAAAGGACATCTGTGCTCTCTTGCACTTATTTTTCTTCCTATCTCACTACCTTTTGCACAAATGCATCATGTATGAAAAACTTTATTAAGGCAAATCATGTTGTCATGACATTTACTTGGTCAAAATCCTGTTAATAACAAATGAGAGTGACTTACACCAGATTTGCCAAATGGCAGGGAAAATATATCCACTTTATCTTGGAGCACTGCCAATAAATCTTTTCAACTTCACCCTAATTTAATGTAAACCACCATATCTAGGTCAGGGAAGAAAGGGGAGGGGTGCAGCTGGGTACAGCCCCAGCCTCAGGCTGGGGGCACCTACCTGGGGATGGGGACAGGCCAGGGTGGGATGTTAGCCCATGAGTTGTGGTGGCTTAACAGAGCAGGCAGCTGAAGTTCAGCACCGGGAAACACTCCCAGCCCTGGTGAGTTTGTTAGTGCAGAGCCCATTTGTCCAACACACAGCCACAGTTTCCCCAGCAGTATAATTATATTGTTATAACCTGTTATATTATTACTGTTATGATGAATTTCCCATTAATATTGGACTGAATTGCATTAGGTGTCAGCCTTTGGTTGTGTTGGTATCACGAGTGTCACTCCGAGAGCCCCGTTGCTGCAGGCACTAAGAGGCATTTCCTGCTCCCTATGGGTATGTGTCCCCAGGACACTACACAGCAAAACAGAGCAATGTCTTTCACTACATTTCATTTGGTTGCTTCACTAGTTTCCTCATTTTGCTCTTTTGCCTCTCAACGATAACAGCACATTCAAAATACTTCAATGAAAGGCCTAAAAGTTGCATGCCTGGATCACTCAAACTTAGCTGGGAAACGCACATCATCGTTTACAGACCTTGGAGTGAACTAGAAAACTCCAGCATGGAAACGTAATGAGGTGAAGCGTAAAGGAGCTCTGTTCGCAGAGCAGGATAGCAGCAGACAAAAATAATGAATCCTTAAATTACTTTCCTTGTCCCCACTTACCTCTTTGCAGAAGGATGCTGTACCTAGTGGCTAAAAAGCATGCATCATTGCCATGTTAGAGAGAGCCTGTGGTTGCTAGGTGGCAATGCAGTTTTTAGATCATTAGGTTATTATCCCAGAGGGCTGCAAATAATCTCTGCACAAGAGCTGCTCATTAACTGGTGGTCCATGAAGTTTCAAAGAGCGTCTGTCTGGATGATGGAAGTCCTCCTCCCTTGATCTTTCTGCAACTCAAGCTTCTGAATTCTTAAAAATACTTAGAAGGAGATTGGAAGTACTGTAGTCCATGAAACTGCTACTGCTATTATTTGACTTACACAACCAGTTGCCCTACAGTGAATTCAGGAGATAGAGAATTAATCAGCAGAGACAGCAGGTGTTACAAGCCCCTATTCTTTCCCTGGTACCTGCAGTGACCATCTAAAGCCCTACAGGAATATTTCATACCAAGATCCAGTGAATGATAGCATCAAACACATGCTTCATTCTCTGACAACCTTAGCTGAAGCAGACCAGAAGCATCTGATAGTTGAACAGCAGATCAAAAAGCAGGAAACTCAAAGAATCCCACCCAGCTCATATGCCTCATAGTTCTGAATCAAGAACAAAGTGGATCTTCTGAACACATTTTGCAGGACACAATAGCACTCACCTCAGTGTTATCCTGTGAAAAAACCCAGAAAATAATAAAAGTGAAATCGAGAGCCACGTTTGGCCCACACCACCATAGTACCAAAATTCAACATGAACAATGAGTCTTCAATGAAGTGACGACTAACATTTAAGGGGACAATCTTGTTCTAAAAGAGCCAGGGTAAAGGTCCCATACATCCTACTAGAACTCTGTTAACTCAAACTTCCCTGTCCAACTCAAAGATGTATATGCTTGATGACAGTCAACTTGACTTTGGCTTTTAAAATCAGGCTGAACAATGCAACTGCATTTAATGACTGAAATCCTGTCCTTCAGCAGCAGGACAATCAGATCAGTTCTGTGGCTGACAAAGTTTGGAAAATGGGGAAAGGTTAGGATCTGTGGTGTGACTGACTTCCAAAATAAACTACGTCAGCAGCTCATATTACATGGAATGTACCTACAATATTAGGTTTCATACAGTTCCCTTACACCAAAAATAGTATTTTCAGGAGTGATTATACATTTGGGAATATATATGGGGAAAATAAGACCATTATTGTGTAAAAAACAAACCCCAACCTTTATTTTTCACAATACATTTCAAGTACATGCAGAACATATTTACATTTCTCTTTAAGGCAAACAGAAACCAGGTTCTTATTCCTGAGTTGCTTAGCACCAGTAGAAATAGCAAATATAAACTTACGAAATGTTGTACCTCTCTTTGAAGCAGCAGCTGCCTCCCATGCAAAATATTTCTGCTTTCACCTTGCATTTCTTTTAACGAGCTATTTCTACTAATAATCTCTGTTGCTGTTTGGAGCCATTTCTTCAGATTTCAATCTCTTAGCAGAACCATCTTGCCAAGATGTGACAAACTTTCCACGTTTGTTACTTCACCTTAGAGACTGTTTGCTGACTAGACAGCACAGCAGTACTTCTGTCATTGCTGGCACATGCATCAAGGTCTTCTCCGGTTATTTTAAGAGTTCTGTATTCCCTCAGTATCTAGAAAAAACTACACATTCTCTTATTAAGTCTTTCTTATGCAGGTTAGCTGCTTCTCTAATTCTATGTTAAGATTAAGAGCGGGAAACGTTCACCTCAGCCAATGGAGAGTTTTAGGGCTTGTCTTCACTTCAGCTAAAGCAGGGAGAAGTGAAAATTTCCATTGAAGTGTTAGCATTTACAAAGAAATGCAAACCTGGCTTTCAATGAAAAGTCATGCTCCCTTAAAGTCTAATATTTAAGCCATTTGCATTACCTCAAGACTTTAGACATTGGCTAGAATTTCGGATGTTGAATTTCCATTTAAAATACAGAGGGAGCATTTTCAAGGAAGTTTCTTCCATTGCCCTGGACTGACTCTATCAAACCCACCAATTCCAATAGGCACTTTTCTCCCATTACTTTTAAGAGGACCACAGGGCATGATCCTAAAAGAGAAAACATCTATTCAGTAAAAAAAAAAGTTCCAGTTCCTATTTAATGTAAAAGTGTAGTCCAAGCAGAAAGTCAATAGTGCAAAACAGGGTATGACTGTTAAATGTGCCTTCCACAGTGACCTGTAGTGTGGAAAAATGTTTTGTTTCAAATTACATTCTCTGCTTTTTTTTTGCTTGCATTCCTAAAACTACAGCTTTTAATACTTGTCAAATACATCAATAATTCAAGGTTTCCTTTACCATTTAGTCTCTCTAGGTGCCCATCTCAGCTAATCAGTATTTATCACAATTTTTAAACGAATGCTAATATTTACAGGTGTTTAGCTTAAACATTCATTGAAAGAAATACAACTGTGCCTCGATTAAACTTCTGGTTTAAATTGGTTATTAAAGCAAAAAACCTCAAGTAATTTCTTACTTCTTTTTCAGCTATTACCTGCTAAGATTAAATGTCTTTCATCACAGCTGTTTCACTTAGTAGCAACACACAACAGCATATTGCATTGGGAATAATCCACATTCAAATAGTCAACTGTAAAGAGATTACCTTTAACAAGGACAAGCAATCTCACAAATAATTCTTCACCAAAGGTCTGCCAATTTATTTTTCCTACCTTGGAGAGATTATTACAAACTAAGCACCTAGGAAAACACAATAAACGAACCCAGGCAGTAAGACGAACTCAAGTGTCTAACCAAAATCACATCAGGACATTGACTCCCTCTGGTAAGGCACCTCTCAACAGAAGGTCTGAGGGTTCCCCCCCAGGTAAGATGAGTTTAAAAGACTAAAAAAAGGAACAGTTGTTACTCTGTGTAATAGGTAGTAAACTGTTTGTTCATCAAACTTAAAACACTCTGCACCTGGCAACACCTCTATGCGCTATGAACAAAACAGCTTGCTGCGGGTATCCCCAGCGAGCAGCTGCAGCATAGCATTCTTACTTTTTTTTCCTTTCCTATAATATGACCTGTGCAGAGCTTTATTTCTAAAATCAGCACAGCTGATTCTATAACCAGTACGTCCTCTGAGAAGATGTACTTTTTCAGTGATCATTTCAATATTAAGATGCTAGAGAGATTACAAAATTTTAGAAAGTCTTAAGAATTTCTCCCTGGAAATCCTTGATCCCTAGTCTATTACACAAAGAGACTGCACTGTATTCAGAGGAAAATACTGTGTCCCTTGACAGTGATTATTTATCTATCGGCTGTTCATCTAACGCGTTTGTCAATTCTTGTCCTGCTACGCGGGTTACTTTGAGAAAATCTAGGACACTGACACTTCTTTGCTTCTTGCCTCTTACCTAGACCTGTCAGAAATGGCTGGAGCTCAGGCTCTCCTCCACTCACATAGGACAGGGGACATCAGCATTCATTGGGGCTGTGCCTACCCGCTGCACCAGTGAGCTAGCAGAAGCTGATTAGCCACCCCAGGCACCTTACCGAGGTGAAATATTCCGGGGGAAGTCACATGGATACTTCTTGCACTCAAGACAGTTCAGTGGCCTTGGAAAGCAGTCATGGCAGACCTCTGACGAGCTCTGTGTCTCAGCTTGCTTAGGGTGGTAACTTGTACTCTTCTGACACCTGATCTGAAGAATTAATCCTACCTGCTCTTTCAAGCATGGCACCAGGTTATTACAGTCTCAATCCTTTTGTGCACATGGATGAAGTTGTAGGCAAGAATAACTGTCTGGACAGTTTTGAAATGCTACTTCCAAAGACACCAACTTCCACATGCAGAGTAAAAGACATTGCTCTTTCTTACAGTACAGATGAAACAGGTAACACCCAGTTTATTTATAAAAGTTTTATACACCTGAAATATCAGAAACATTTACACCTTTCCTGCTTTCTTCTGAGTTCTGGAAAGACCGAGTCACACAATTACACCTCTGTCTCCTTTGACTCTGATGTCTGTGGTGGCTTGAAGTTCAGTATCTCTTTATATGTAATGCCTGGAAAACAACAGAATAAACATAGTGTTGCTGGTCTAACCAGAAAAGGAGCTGCACAGACACCAGCAAGATGCAACCCCCAGCATGGTCAGACTCTGCTCTAAATCAGGAAGAGAGAGACCTCTTCAGGCAAAAAAAGAGAGAAAGAGTGCAAAAAGTAAGGGAATCGAGGATCATTTCTTCACCATTTCAGATTTGAAGTCAAGCCCAATACTGCAATATTAGAGATGCTTTCAAAAGGATGCAAGCATCGACTTTACAGTATAGGGGTCAATATCCTCCAAAAGAGCTGCTGTCCACATCACCTTTAAAAGTCAAGTCCTCATTTAAAAGCCAAAATACAAACCTCTCACTTTAGATGGAAACTAAATTCAGACTTAAATCTCTGATGAGGTAGGTATGTTTCTTTCCCTGAGAGAACCTAACTTAAAATTAAGGCCAGCAACTGTTGCAGTCCTACAGACCCAACAGTTGAAGAATCTGTTTGCCTCTCCTATCCACTGGAAGGAACATGTTACAGAAATTATTTCTTTCCTACATTGCAGAAGATGGGAGGAGAGATGCATGGAGGAGAAGGAGGAGGATACAGAGAAGAGCCTCTGTTAGGAGGCACAGAAGAAACCTTTGGGGATTTTTCCAGGAAGACTTTATAAGAGGAACACTGGCTTATCAATAGCATTTCTCTATCTAAATGCTGTCTACTTACTCTGTTCCACCAAAAAAAGAGAAAGGAATTTGTAAGTGGGGAATTTCCTATTTCTAGATGGCCTTTCTATCTGGATATTTTTGAAAACATCAAAACTAAACTCACGCTTCCACTCATCTAGCGGAAGATCCATGTTATCAAATGTGTCATCGTATTTCTCAGCTTCAATTTCTTCCTCAGGATCATGAATTGGCTCAAAGTAAGGATGCATCAAAGCCTCAGCTGCTGTGACTCGCTTCTCTGCATCCAGCACCAGCATCTTCTCCAAAAGGTTTACAGCTATAGAACAGAAAACAAACAGTGCATTTAAATCATGCCACTGATTCCAGTTTGTACACGGTAACATTGTCCTGGAGATATTTCAAATAAATACACAGAGTTATAAAGCAGAATCACAGGGTGATATAGCCAGTGGGGCCCACCTGGATGACAAAACAGTGTTGTGAGCAAGCTGGGATGTGTACGAAGCCTGATGCAACGCAGAGATGCTCCCTTGCTTCTGTATGCAATACAGCCACATCACCTCATCTCCAGGACCACTGTGCTTGGGGCTTTCCCAGGAATCTTTCATCACTGCTGCCACTGTGTTGTGGTTCTAAGGTACATCACTACCAGACAGCAGCAGAATGTAGGTGGACGGGTGTAGAGCTAACAAGAATTGCTCTATGTGTGATCAAATCCAAGCCCAAGTACACTCTGAAGTTCACCAAGACAAGTCAGTTGTCCATGCTCAGAATCTCAGCACTGAATTTATCTGCTATGTGTTTTTTGACCTCAGCAAAAACAATTCATGAAAATCTTGTATGTTCCTCTCCAGTGGAGTGTGGATCAGGTTCACTGTTAGACTGTCAAAATGGGCTAGTGTAAACAGATATGATGAATGATTTGTTTATTATGTTTTTCTATCCTGAAAAAACATTCCTAGGTTGGGTGGAGCAGCTGAAAGGAAGAAGAGGCAACAGCGTGGGACAGGATGCTGCAACTCCCACTTGCCACGTCATGGATTCTCTCCAGGCTTCTCCCCCAGAGCATGAACAGTTGTTCTCTATGTAAGGAGCCGGCAGACAGGTACAGAACTGACAGGAAGAAATGTCCTAAAAACTCAGTGGAAAAGTGTACAGTTTCCTGTAGCTGAGAAGGTCGGTGAGCTAACCATGCAGTCAGGGTAAGAGCTGCTTATTAATCATGTTTATTTCCACTGTGTCTAAACATACAATTTTAACTTTTAAATTGAGAAGATTCAATTATCCTAATTGATATTCCAATAAAACTGGCTTTGTGAGTGTTCAGGTCATTGGGGAATGGATAAGGTTTGGGCAGAGCCACCTCAGAGCTCTGGCTGCCTCAAGTCACGTCACAGTTATGCACACTTGGTATGCTCTTTTGGCTGTTTGTATCTATCAAATCCAAGCCAGTGCTTCTCAGGAATGCACAGATGTTTCTCAGGATGTATTCATTCCATGACTAAAATGTCAACTTTCTATTTGCCTGCATTTCTACTGTAGATCAATTGAGCTTTCAGAATTATATTTCAAATACAATACATAGACATTTAATTTCTCGGGGCTCTTGAGAAAGCTGCTCCAGTAAAACCATTAAGCAGATGCTGGATTGGAGCCTAAACCACAAAATACTTCTTTTTTGACTCTTCTAAGAAACATCTGATTCCTGGCAGGGTCTAAACTTGGCAAAGCTCAGCCACTAAAATCAAAGTTATGAATTATGGAAAGTAAGAGATAGAAAAGCTCAAGAACTATCACATAACCTATCCCATGACTGATACTGCTGCTGTCTCCAGCACAAACACAAGAACAAGACCCACACAGACTGTCTTACCCAAAGGATTTGCATACTTCAAGATGGATGCAAAATCTTTTTTCTGGACTTTTGGGAGGCTTTTGATATAGTTTTTTGCCTTAAAAGAAACAAGAATATTAAATTAGACCTTTGCCACCTTTTCAATGTGACAACATTAACTATACGCTTAATAGGTAACTCAATGTTTTGACAGCACATTGTACAAGTGGATTTTTTTTGAGTCATAAAATGTGATTATATTCACCTTCTTGTTGAAAGGAACTTTTTTTAAAATAAAGCCTTAAAAGTGTGATTAAGAAATGATAATGTAAGCTTTAATAATTATCAGTCAATTAGTTATTAATTATTTATTAATATTTTTGCAACACTGAGTATTTAGTATATTAGATTATGTATGCATGAATAATTTGAAAGAATGTCATAGTGAGTTTACAGGAATCTCTAGAAGTGAACCTTATACAGTAATGCACTAGTATTGAAATGGTATAGTTAGTCTAATGACTAATTTTAGTTTTTTTATAGTAGAAGATTAAGGATTCTAGAAGGACATCCACATAAGAATGGGAAAGACAAACGCAGAGACATCTGCAGAACAACCAGGTTTTCTGTGTAGGTTCATGTTTTCAGTACATTTCCGATAAAGGCGGCAATGCAGCAGCTCAACTGTTTATATGGTGCACACTGGAAACTTTGAAGTATTTAAATATCTAGATTTTTCAAGTGCCTTGATCATTTTCTGTGCTCCCTTATCTCCAGTAGCTATTCTGGGTGTGCAAAGTACTTCAAGGTAGAGACGTACCATCAAGGGTCATTTCAGTAGTCAATATATATTATCTCAGTCAGTTTAAGAACTAAGCACGGTTTAATTAAGACATACAAAACCAAATGACAAAGCAGAATACTCACATCTTGACTGTGCAGTTTTTGAACAAAATCTTGAGTTGGTGTACCTGTTATTTTCATTATTTCTGTGAGTTGGTCCAGATCTGAATACCAGAAATAAGGAACAAAGCCTTTCACCATAAAACTAAACACCTTGCAAAAACAGTGAGTTTCTTTGCTATTGGAGAATAAAGCAAAAATCACGATGTGAGGACTAAAAGATTTATAAAAGATGAAATGGAAGTTCTCTGATTTTCTTGCAAAAGGCAAGGACACTGAAAGCACCTGAAATAAAATATCCTTTAACTTGGGAACACATAATTGAATCATCAGCAAACTCTTCTAACTTCATCAGGTCTCCTCTATATTTTTGGTCAAAATCAGTCTAAAGTTATTGGAGTATCTGAACAATCAACACACGTATTGCATGCATTGCCCTGGTCTCTCCAATACTTAGGTGACGTAAAGGCAGGAAGAGTCACAGGGAACATCAGGTGGCACGGTAAGCGGAACAGAAAATCAGAGGAAATCAGTCTGTGTTGGCTCTTCTCCGTATTGAGAAACTTCAAGGAAAAAAAAATCCCTCTCCTCCTCATTTCCCACATGCTTAGCTCAACTCCGTATACTGAGATACTGGAGACGTTGGGGGAAGACATCAGAATATTCCCTAGTCTTCTGTATCCTAAAGCACCACAGATCAATCAGCAACAGTATTAGCTGTTTCAAAGAAGAAACACCATATTCACAGGAGGCTAACGCTGCAGAGAACAGCTTTATGACTCGTTTGCTACTCTGGCCAGAGCAGCAGATGAGAAGCTAGAAGCTAGATCAGCACTTGGCACGAGGATTTTACCAGCCTCTGCAGAAAAAGGCAATGGTTGGTAAAGCTGATGAAATAAATAAAATCCCATAACAAGTTTGCAGGATAACCTATTCACATTTCTAGAATAAAAATCCCTTAACATGGCTTTTTTCTTATTGACTTACCCACAGCTGAACCCATGGTTGCATTTCCCTGACAACAGGTAATACTGATCCATATACTCAAAGGCCAGCAAGGACTATTATGCTGGGGTAATTTCCTTCCTAACACAGGATGGAGAACCCCAGCCAATAGTTCTGTAATCTCCAAAACCCAGTATGACTAAAATACGAGCTTTTCCACTCTTACATTTGCAACTTGAAAATTGTGACTCATTCATTTCCTTATTTATGTACCAGAATGCTCAAGGTTAGCATCAGTAGAGAAATGCTGTTAGTCAATGGCTGTTCTTTGGCAGGCATTTTATTTTCTTGTTAAGAACTAATGCGTACTTAAAATCTGTACATCTGAAATAATCTGATATATTCTACTTTTCCATAGTATCTGTCATTTTTTTTGGTGAATACAATCTTCCTTTTTTATGTTTTTCCTCACAAAACAAGAATAATACAATCCAAGCAATGAAGTCTTAATCTCACATATAAGTACTTAAACACAAACATAACCAAAATTACACAATTGTTATTCTGTGATTCTGTAAACAAGTATTTGCAGATAAGCAATTTATTGACTAGAACTGTACAAGGGGAAAAGTAATGCAAAATGATCAGGAGGAGCTGTCAAATACAGACAGCTGGGAAACAAAAAAACCCCCCAAAAATTTCTTGCTGTCTTCTGTTAACACCATCCTCTATTAACTATCACAACTACTACTGCCAGACAAGTATCATTTGAGGTTGGATTATGGGTTAATCTTAACTATTTTCTTAATTCCTCAGCAATTAAATGATAGGACTAGATGTTTTATGTAAATCTAAAACATTTTACCAGATGCTACTTGGGTAACATTTTTTGGTAAAAGTCTCAAAAGGCATGAGATGGACTAGTATGTGCACCCATGTCCGTATACTGCAGCAGAATCTTCTGTGTGTGTTCTGGAGTTATGGAACTTACTGCTAAAAAAATTAAAAATATGCCTTTTCTATTACCACAGAACCTTTTACCTGATGATTTATGATTCAAAGATCACACCTCTTTATTGAAAAAGTTCAGTAACACAAGTTTGAATTTGCAGATGTGCAAAGGTAGTACAGATATCAAATAACCAATTAATGAGAAAGGTGCAAGCCATTTTACTATTCATTTCAATTTGTGCTCATCAGTTTTTGAACAGATCTACTGTAGCACAAGAACCTCTCATCATTTTCTTACATTAGCGTCAAATTCACTGAAGGATACGATCATTTCCTTTGAACAGAGGCCTCCCCGTTATCATCTCAGCCATTATACAGCCCACAGACCAGATGTCAACTGAAAAAAAGACCAACAGTCACACTAAATTGCTGAATACTTGTCCATTTAAGTGCTCATAAAGTCTAATTTAAAACTTATTCTAAAGTGTTAAATTTACCTATGTAGCTTGCTACAAAATAGATGATTGCTTTGCCACGTACAATTAACGTTGTAAATAAAACTACCAGCCTTTCTAACTGGCAAACTGGAGATAATCTGAAAATATGCAGAATCAGTTTCTCAGTAACAGGCAGATGCACATGGAAAGTAAATTTTCCATAGTTATCCTAGTGTTACTTGAATTCCCTCCTTCTGCCCTTTTTCCCTGTCTGAGTTACAATCGGCACATCTTTGCAGGACAGTAACAGTCAGTGCAGAACACAAGAACATAGGCCAGACTGTCACATCTGCATACATTTACATTGTTTTTTTCCAAACACCTTGGCACTTTATGTTACTTTCAGAAAATACACAAAAAAGCCTCCAAGCTCACAACCACCAAACGATTACCTGCAATTTTATCTACAATGGAGTTTAGCATAATTATATTGTCATTTCCACCTCCAATTCCTTATTCACTTCAGAAACAAAGACTTGCTTATATATTGCCTGATCCAGTGAATGCTTCAGCTCTGTTAAGACTTTTCTGATGAGATGCTGACCTGTTTGTGTATAATGCATCCAGTTAAGTATGACCTCTGGAGCTCTGTACCACCTTGTAACCACGTAACCGGTCATCTCACTGTCTGTATGCCTTGCCAATCCAAAATCCAGAATCTGTAGTGGAAGCACAAAGAATATCCTGATCAGACAGCTAGTTATCTATTAAATACAGACTTTACAAATGCAGAAAATAAAAGAATTGGAGCATTCTGCAGATACTGGCTTATTTTTGCATCTTTTTTCTAATTGAAGTGTCTTGTTCTCATTTGAAAAGTGAAGACAAAAGCAGAAAGGAGTTTTATGATTTTTTTATTTAGATACTCCTATAGCAACACTAAAAGCTGTAAAATCAGTAAAGAAAAGAAATTCTTCAAATATTAATTAAAAAGATACGGGTCTCTTTCAATGCAAAGAATTCTCTTCCCTGGTCATGGAATGGCTATTGTAGCTGGTTAGGGCTAAAAGAACAGCACCCATCTTAGATGGTATTTATAGAATCATAGAATGGTTTGGGTTGGAAGGGACCTTAAAGATCATCTAGTTCCAGCCTCCCTGCCATCAGCAGGGACACCTGATCACATTGCTCAAAGCCTCGTCCAGCCTGGCCTTGAACACTTCCAGGGAGGGGGCATCCACAACTTCTCTGGGCAACCTGTTCCAGTGTCTGACCACCCTCACAGGAAATAATTTCTTCCTAATATCTAATCTAAACCTACCCTCTTTCAGCTTAAACCCATTTCCCCTTGTTCTATCATTAACTGCCCTTATGAAAAGTCCCTCCCCAACTCTCTTGTAGTCCCCCTTCAGGTATTGGAAGGCCACTATTATAAGATCTCCCCGGAGCCTTCTCTTTTCCAGGCTGAACAGACCCAACTCTCTCAGCCTGTCCTTGTAGGAGAGGTGCTCCAGCTCTCTGATCATCCTCGTGGCCTCCTCTGGACTTGTTCTAACTGGTCCATGCCTTTCTTGTGTTGGGGGCTCCAGAACTGGACACAGTACTCCAGGTGGGGCCTTACAAGAGTGGAGTAGAGGGGCAGAATCACCTCCCTCGACCTGCTGGTCACACTTCTCTTGATGCAGCCAAGGATACAGTTGGCCTTGTGGGCTGCTCTTGCATCCCAGGTGGCACAATTCAAGAGTGTGTTCCAATAATATTCTGAAGTTTTCATTCAAAGGAAAGCTTCCTCTAGGTCATAAGGAGAAGATGTAACAAGAGTAGGGAATCACAATATTTGGCCCCACTGAGTTTTCCCCAACCTGCTACATCAACTACAGAACAACACTCTGTAAGAAACACAAGGTTAATGCAATTTTTTAAAAGGATTATGCACAATTCAGCTTACTTACAAGATTCTCGGATATTTATCTCTAGAAATAGTAATGTGTACAGCAGCAAGATTAAAAATGAATGTTATGGCCTTTCGTCAGCCTCTACAAAGTTGGCTAACATAAAGGCCCACCTGTATGGACCTTCAAAAGATGGTGACAAAAGATGCGGCCAACAATGAAGAACACTCCTGCAATGACAGTCCGTTCATAGTTTATCAGGAAGTTTGTGCTTCTAAGAAGAAACAGGGGTCTTGGGTAAGTAAAGTCTATTCAAGATAAATCATCATCCACAGATACTTGAATATGTAGCTTTGCATGAACAGCCAGTAGTTTCCGTATGTATCAGGCTTCATATATATTGACAGGGCAGACATTTTCACTAGGAGCACCTGTGCAGTAACATAGCCAGAGTGATGTTTTTGTAACGCTCTCTGTAGGTAAACATTTAAAAATATTTCAGGACAGTTTCATCATTCCCTGGAACTAGCAGAAAGAAAAAAATATATTTTCATTCAGAGATCAAGAATATAAAATCTTATGGCTTATCTTTATTGCCATACTTGAAACATCATTTTCATATCTTCCTCATAACTGCTGATTACCTACCAATTTAAAAACAGAAAGAGGATGCCAAGGGAGAGAATTTTATTCTTACCAATAAAATACAATTGATTATGCCTGAAGTTACCCCTCGGAACTTTGGGTACTGAAGATTTACTAGAATCAAAATATGTGCAGTAACAAAATACACTTTTAGATACAGCTTTTAAATTTATTCTACACATATAACACACATTATGTCTTCCCAGTAACATGGGGTGGGGGGTGGTGGAAGTAAAAAGGAAGTTTTACCTAACAGGTGAAGAGTCACATGTGGTACCATCTATTCCGTCACAGATTTTTAGGCCTTTTCCATACTAAGGCTTGTAACATTTGGATTTGGAGCCAAAATATAATTTAGGTTTGTATGTTTGTAAAAGCAAAAATCAACAGTGAGAATTTTTGTGCATTACATATTAACTTCAGGATTTATTTTCATTTACATATTCATTAGACTCAGGAACAACTGTATCCTGTTAAGTACTTAATATTAACATGGTACCACTTCAACAACAATCTTCACATGAAACTATTAGTCTCATACTCCAATCTTCAATTTTTCAGCTGGAACTTCCAAAGCAATTTTCAGAGCAAGTTTGAAAATCCTTTTTATAATGCAGGAATTATGAAAGATAAAGCAAATTCCCCTCAGCTCCTCAAGGACAAGCTCCCCTTCTACTCAGCAAACTTGATTTTCCTAACTTGCCCCATGTAACAGTTGAAAGCATCAGATGAGGGAGCCAGACAGCTCATTGTGAAAAACAAAACTGACTGCTTATTAATTATTATCTATTCAAGGAACTGTTCCAACTTGCCTCGTTGCCATAGCTGATGCTCAGGAAGCTGCTGAGTGCACAGACATGGGGGAAAAGCGTTGGACTAACCCTGGCAGCATTTTCCTGTGCCTGCGTAATCTGACTTTGAAAGCGCGCTCAGATCAGGGTCACATCCTGCCCCTTGCACCCAGACACATGGTGCAGGGGAAGTCAGTCCAACTCCTTCAGTGTAAGGGAGATCCCAGTTAAATCCCTGCCTTGATTATTTTTTATGCACACTTCTCAACATATTATAGTTTGCTTTCTGTTTATAGACCAGAGTTGTCTTTTGAGAACCAGTATTTCCTAATTGCAAATTTGCACTTTTCTTCTGCACATGGTATCAGAGTTTATTGTACAATCAGGGACAGCATCATTTCACTCAGAGTGAAGAAACAAAAAATAAATCTTAATCTACATTTTCTCCTTATCGCTTCACAAAATTGTGCTCTGATACAGAATTATTTGCCTCAGTTTATCTAAAAGCTTAAAAATGTCCAAGGTAACAGAAAAATAAGTTGTACTAAATAAGGAGATACAGTGATCGTACCATGGAAGAATGTCTTTGACCTGGGCTGCATCTCAAAGTGTAATTGCACAGTTGAGAGGAGGGAAGAGAAACATATACAACTGCTTTTTCTAGAGTCTCTTTTTTACCCTGTGACCCTGGGACCCACTCAGTGTTTGGCCACACACAAGGCAGGAGAAGACAACGGCTTTTTGTATTAGGTAGGGAAATTCTGAAATGACAGGACCCTGAACATTCAGGTCAGTCTCCAAAGAGCAAAAAATTGTATTACAACAGCTACATGCAATGATATAAATTTGTATGTTATATGCTAAAAAATACTTCTGCAGTGTTGCATCAACTTTCATTTTATTTAATTAAGAGAGTGCTTCACAACCTTTGATTTTCTTCTCTATCTCCCAACTTGCACAATGAGACTTTCTGTACTTTTTCAAAGCTGGAATTCTCACATAACTGAACTACTCCCATAAAGTCTTATGTCTCTTTTAGGGAGGAAACCTTGGCCTTAAGATCCAAATGTACTTACATATTAGGACACAAAAGCTCCCACTCAAATTTACTGTTGTTTTGTCAGAATGTATAGGCTAGTCGTGATTCAAGTACAGGACAGAAGACGTAGCATGATTTTGTAATTAACTGACTAGACTTTCAGATTAGACTTTCCAGAGCTAAGAGAAGACAGGTGACAAAAACAATTCTAAAAATTAATAATGACCTATTAAAATACAAGAATAGAATTAACTGGAGACTAGAAGCAGTCTGAGGCTACTATGTCTACACTCAAGAGAATAAACCATATTCATCAAATAAGCTGTGTTGAGTACTACATAATTCTACTTCATCGTAAATAATTGGCTTTTTTATAACAAAGTCATGCTACACAGCCAAACAGATGCATTTTTGCTAGGTCAGGATACATGGCATAATTATTTCTGAAGTACAAATATTATCCACTAACAGGCTTTGGAAGATTTCCAATACGTGTAAGAAACTGCAATCAGGACTGTTGAGATTCATTATTTCAGTTCAATGATTTAGAAGGAGGCTTGAGGTGACAAACATTGTGCAGGAGAAGAATTACTACCCAGATAGACTCTACTGAAAACATTTCCGAGAAAGTGGCAACATCTACACTTCAGGAGAGGGAACTTTCCACCAGGGGTGCTACAGCCCCGGTCTCCAAGGGTGCATGCCAGTTAAGCCCAATTTCCATACTGGGAAGGGGTGTGGGTGTGCACTGTCCTCCTATCCATCTTTGGATGGAAGCCCTGATGGGTAGGATGAATGGAGTCATGGTACACACCAATACTTGCCTCGCTCCAGAGAAGCAGCAACCAGGTAATACAAAAAATGCCATCAAGTACACCTGTCCTGCAGCGCAGCATCACAAACAGCTAATGGCTGACCTACAGGAGACTGAGGTAGGAATTGTTTTTTTCTCACTACTTCAATTAAGAGCAAAAATGAAGCACAACTGATACATTCCTGCCATGAAATACACAGCAGTCTACATGCAATTGATACGACTGTTAGTTGTAACCATGCAGAAGGAATCACTTTAAAAGAAATGTTCTTGTTCATGGTAAGCAGCATGTGATACCTCTCGTGCCTCTCTGAGTGATTACCTGCAACATATCATAATTCTCCACTACAGCTCTTCTCAGACTGCAACCATGACATGATTTTTTTTCTTGAAAAGTATTTTTTAGTTGAGTGACTGTGTAAAAATATACCAGTATTCATTGCAACATACATACCACACAGGAAAAGGGCCACTATTATGGTCACATACACGCGCTTGGCGCGGGCACAAAGCTGCAGCATGGAATACTACATCAATGCAAAAACTGCAGAAGCATTTTCAGTTCTTACTCTGCCCTTCACCCAGCTGGAGAACCCAAGTCAGCAACCGCTCCAACGATGCCATGAATGTAATATCCTGCAGCACTGAATTCCTCACCAGAAATCCTCCTACATCTTGAAGTCAACCACCATCTCTCCCCTGTTAACACTGCGTAACAGCTTCTTGGGAGTGTCTTATCTGGACAGGATGTTTTCAGCTGGGACATCCTGGGCAACATTTCTAGCTAAAGGTGCAACCATTTCTTGTGCTTGGCTCCAGAATGATCTCAGAAACTGATCATCACCTCTGCTATTCATACGAAATGCACATTTATGTCAGTCGAGGACATAAATAGGAGGTGAATAGATTCTCAGTATTCAGGGCTTTATTTCTTAAATAAATATTTAATTATTCTTGTAATGACTAAAGTCACACAAATGAGAAAATACTTATAAGGAGCAGTCTCTTCCAATTTTTTTTTTCAAGATGGTTACTACTGTCCACCTGATCCTTTTCCCTTTCATTTTCCAGCATTCCCCTATTTCTCCATGACTCCTCAAAGCCTGGGGGCTGAAAGCCTGGCCGACCACTGAAACCAGCCAGCACATCTACAGCTGTGGCACCCGATGTCCTGTGTGGTGTACTTCTAATGTATCTGACTGTTTGGGTTTTTTTTTTTTCCAAATAAACATATCCTACCTTCAATTCACAGTCTTCATTTACTGCCAAGTTTCCAGGCTTTAGATCCTGTAATCAGATTTGAAACTGACGTTATTTATTTATTTTCCAGCAAGCACAATAAAGTGTTTGGGTTTCTTTCTTTCTTTCTTTCTTTCTTTCTTTCATTTAGGTTTAATGGTTTTCATACAACTAATTTAAAACAGCAATATGTAAAACGATGTCATAAATCTAAATCAGAAAATTAAATATAACGAACAACAGAAACAAAGACAGAAACTTGAATATGTTTGGCTTTTTTCCAGTATGCCTTCCCTCCAGACTAATGAATTTTTTTTCTCTTAGAAGTCAGGAAAATACTTGCCAATGAAAGAACTCGCTCATCTTGCTGTGAGTGGGGTTTGGACATAAATTTGTTGCATTTAATACTAACACCACAAAGTTAATGATCCACATATATACTTCTGGACTGTACACACTGCATATTAAAATATACTTTAAAGGTTCTATGCCCTGATAGACCTAGAAGGAGTACTGAAGGAATCAAACATGATTTTACATAAAAGCCTATGCTCTCTTCAAAGGGAAAATCAATTTCCTAACAAAGTCAGTTGAATGGAGACTGCAACATGAAAAAAATAATATTCCCTTTAGCCTCTTTAGCTACTGTAGATACTTCTAATGATCTTCAAAAGTAGTAGTTCTAAGTTTAGCAGCAAAGGGAAGACTAGTGGCAATGACTAAGAAAATTTTGCAATGTCAGTGACTCTTAACACATCGACAGTTATAGAGAGAACAGAAAATAAGTTTTCCTTCAGCTTTTACATGTTTGTCACTTTAACACAAGATGTTTAGAGCAATCTTCGCTCTGAAATTTTTAACAGGCATCCAGTTGTTTAATACAAATATGTTTTAAGATCAGACGGGCCTTGGAGAGAAACAAATTGGTGCAAAGAACCATAATGAAACCAAGAAGCTCAAGAGCCATCAAGAGGAGCTTAGAAAAAGTCTAAGCAACAGTAAATTTAGACCATGATCACAGCAGATGTGGAAATAAAAATATAAATTTTATGACATTATTTTGGCAGCTTGCATAGTTTCCATATCCAACTTAAAGCTACTATACAATGTGTATTTTCTGTGCTGCTCCTGATATTTTATTACAAGCGACCAGTTTCTATTGTTCAGATGCCATTTTTGGGGAAGTTATGCTGATTTGTACCGCGAGGGCATCATTCAGAATTCCTTCTTCATGGTGCAAAAGTGATTTTAAATGAACTATTAGACACAGCAGGTATTAAAAAAGAAGATGTTTCATTTCTCCCAGAAAAAAATTGAGGTTTTCAAGGCTTTGTAATTTTGGATGATTTTTTCAGTTTCTCTGTTTTCATACCCCGACTCCCCCAATTTTCAACATTAACACTATATTTAAACAACATTTAAACATTGTTTAATCCTAATTTTTTTTAAAAAGACAGAAAAAACTCATATCCATCTCAGTTTAGACTCTATTTGCTCCTGTGGGGATTTAGAACCCAACTTCACAGACCAGTTAAAGAAATCCCAATCTAACCTGTATTTGGTGCAACATGAGTGCCCAAATTACACTGATGTAGCCATATCACTTTTTGTTCCTATTGAACAAGAAACCAAAGGCAAACACTATGAATAGAGACACTATAAACAGAAGTTCAGGCATATTTATGAGCATGTTTATACACAAACAACACTCACATTATGAGAATATAAACATTTTCTATATTGTTTCCACTTACCCTGTGAATTATGCCTGATGAGTGAATATACTGTAAAAAAAAAAAAAAATTTTTTTTTTGGTTAATGAGGTCCTGACTTTAAGAAGTTGCCTGGGACAGGGGACAAAGTACTTTCTCATGGTGTTAAAGTAATCTGAAATTAGAAAATGTTTACTTAATGCACAGGAGATCTTTTTAGCTATGTTTTTAATGTTCACATAATTAAACTAACATTTTTCCCTTCCCCTCCCCCAATAATGAGAAACCAGTAAATCTGTTTGAGTACTGCAACAGATCATATCGGTTTTTTCTCATTCTTCCCATACATAAAATCCCGTTTCCAGTTTATTTTTGGCATTTATATATATATATGTATGTATGTGTGTGTGTGTGTGTGTGTGTGTGTATTAAAATAAATCCCACCATTTTATATATCAGAAATGCTCTCTTGCCATTGACGCCTCCCGTGTGCCATCACAGTTTAGATTCATATGCTCCAGCAGCACTGAGTTTTAAGAGACCACTTAAGACCAGGATAAAGTCCAGTCAAGGTCTCAGCTGAGAAATCTTGCTAAATGCTTCAATACTTCCTCAATGAAACACTGCAAGGTCACGTTACAAGACATTCTTTACCTGAACATTTTCATCGCCCTTCTAGTGACCTATTTAAGGGCTCACAAAAGTCAAACCAACAAACTGGTCACCTAGGACTAGCTCTTTTGGGAAGACACCTGACTAAATACAGATGTCTGCACTTGTGACTGTCACCAAATGCTCCCTGCTGAGGTACGCAGTTCCTCGCACCAGCTGAATGAAACCCTAGAAGAGACTCTTTTCATCATGGACAATAAAGGGAGCCTCGAGTAACTAGTTCAGACACAGGCATCTCTTTTTGCAAGGACTGAAATGCAGAAAGTTCTCCTGAACTAAGGATGTGTTTTCCAAGAGCAGCCTGGGATGTGCCAGTACTGTTAACTTCAGGTGTGGGGAACTGATGTGAAAACCCCACAGACCACACTACTGATGGCAGCTCATACTACTGACACTAAGCAACACGAGAACAACAAAAGCTTTTTGAAAAGTCCATAGAAAAGATGGATGAGATGCAAATCCTACCAGCTTCACCTGAAGAATTTTCATTTTATTCCACCATGAAGAATGGAACACTAACTGGGAAAAGAATTACTGGGAATAGCTGTCAGAGCCAGGAAAGACCAACCAGGGACACTCAGGGTGGTCTCACGGAGATGCACAGAAACACTGAACTTCGCAGGGTAACTGCCAACCAGCCACAGCCCCAGCAGCCAGGCAGGTGAGCCAATAACCTCGTAAATGCAACAGTCCCTCTGCAAAGGGGATCCTCACAGTCCACCTGGTGAGGAGACAAGGGAAAAAAAAAGCAAAGCTACAGATCAAAGACAACTTCTTTAGAGAGATCCAATGTGCATTTCAGACTTAAGTTTCTGAACTTAAACAAAACCCACACAACCTAAGCAGCACAAGATCTGGATTTAAGGAACCAACATTTTTAAAGTAGTGCCTGAACAAAAATAAAACCTCTGACATCTACTTTTTCCTCTCTTACACCTGACAGAGCACTCCAAACGTGGTCTCGTAGGCTCTGAAAAGATGGGGAAAAAAACCCAAACCAACTTCCCTTAACCCTGTGCCTACAACTCTACCAATCCAGCCCACGTCATGGTAGGGCTCTGCTGCCACACAGCCGCACCACTGTGCCCAAGTCCACGCAGGTCTTGGCATTTGTGGTAGACCAGCTCCTGCTGCATGTCACTTGAAGATTAGGCAAAGTTTAACATCACTCGTAGGAAATGCTAAAGCGCTTCACAGGATTTCCTGGGGCAGACACCAGGGGCTGAGGGCGCAGGGCTGTTCCCCAGAACGTAGGCTGTAAAACCACTGCGGCAAAAGAAGAACTACGAAATGCTGTATCTGTCATGGATGTGCATGAAGAGGATTGAGACAGGAAGAAACAGACACAGAAAGACAAACAGGCTATTTTTTCTGGTATGACTGTACACAGTAAGAAAATAACTGGCAGAACCAGGAATCTGTGCACCTAAGAATGTGGCATATAGAAACAGGAGTTAAAAGGATCGCACCCTTTGGAGTTTCAGTTAAAGGAAATCTCACCTGTTTGTGGGGAAGCGCGTAGTTTCACTGGTGTTCTCACACCACTGAAGGTTTTATGAGTGTTCACAGCACCAAAATCATGTTACCACTGTGGGGAGAACTCCTATATTTTCTCAACACCCCCCTTAATACAACACTACTGAGATTACATGAAATGACACTTATTCCTGGTGCTAATGTACACATCAGCCTTTCTGCAAGCTGAAATACTGGTGCTGTGCTGCAGTGTTTCTTTAACAACAGCAGGATTTTTTAAACTGCATTTTATTACCTGCTGGCAGGTAGCAGCACTAGAACTACACCAGTCTTAGTTCAGAAAACTTTCAATTTCAGTTCAATAACCTTCTGAAACAGGATCCTATTCTTACTGATTCTCCTCATCAAATTATCCATCTATAGACAGATTTTTCACTCTTAATGTGGCAAAAACGTTCAGACCAGAGCAGATATATCCTTCACAGTGTTATTATCACTTCACCTGAACAATATTTGATTCAAGAACCCAGTTAACATGAGCAAAGTGCCTTGGTGCACAGGAGCTCTGTGCGTTATCCTAAAGACAGTTTTTGGTAGCACGCATAAATCCTTGAATGCAAGCTTCAGATTGCGCTAGGAAGCTATCCAACAGTTGTCCAAATTCTAAGCATTCTTATCTGTATATGCAATCTCTACACAAAAGAAAAAGCTAATCAAAAGGGATTTAGAAAAGACTCAGGAGAAAGTATACTAGGCAACCTGCAAAATGAAAATAAGGAGAGTTTTGGCAGGGAAGGAAAAACTGAAGAGGAAATGGGTGAGGGGGGAAGGGAAAGTAAAGAAGCAGAAGGAACAACATAAATGTGAACAGAAGGCAGTAAATAAAGATGACAAAAGGAGAGAACTAAACCAGGTAAACATTACCATGGCTATGGTAAGTAAAAAGAAGCTTGAACAGGTGTTTGTATGGCCCAAGACCTATCTGTCCATTCTCAAATACTGTACAAAGAAAGAAACAGGACTGCCACCCACCTCCCCAGGCCTCTGGGAACACAAACCCAACTGGCACTCCTGCAGAAGAGGAGACTGCAAGTGCTAGAAGCTCCAGCCCCTTTCCAGCTACATAAAGACATTCATGTTCAGCTTGCCTTGGGTACTCTTTGACAATACACAGCTTTTCTGTCAAACAAACAAACAAACAAAACCATGAAAGCCCTTCCAAGTTGCAAGCTCATACTTAAATAAAATGTAATGCCATACTAAGACCTGACTAGGAAACAGACAAAGGAGAGGCACATCATTGTTCTTAAGCGGTGTTAAATCGCATTGTTTTTTCCTGCCACAGATGAAGCTAAATTCTGATAAATTACAAGGCTCACCAAAGAAAGGAAATGAATATTTCATTCTCTAGAGAAACAAGACAGTAAAATGGCAAGAACAGAAACTAACTAACAAACAAGGACTGTACAGACTTAGAGAGGAAAGATCTGAGGGCTTGATACAAATCTTCATGAACTCAATATGAACTTTATATTGACCTCAATTTATATCTATTTTTTAAATCAAGCCCATTGAGCATTTTGTTATACAACAAAGTCAGAACCAGTCTATACATAGAATGTAAAAATCAAGCCTGCAAGGAAATGACCTGGAGGCTTTGCAAAAATCTTTCTTATCCTTTCACAATACATAACTCATGCAGAGATTTTTCTACATGCATTTAACGTGTCATACATAAACAGGTTGTTACAATAGAAGTACGCACTGTTACAAAAACCATGAACAGCCTTCTAGCCTTTGAACACATAAATACACATGACAAAGTGCTTATATACTTTACGCAAAGGACAAATGCATATTGCAGGTAACGTATTTAACACCAAAAAAACCCCCAAAATAGAGTCCATCAAAGTTAAAAGGTGCAAAAAAAATAATATGCATTATAAAAACGAGAAGATAAGCCTGGAAAGTTGAAAGAGCTTTACAATAAAGATCTACAGAGTGGCATATTCCTCCTTCCCAGGTGTCAAGTATTTTTCCCCTATTTTGCCTCAACCAAGTGCTAGCTCAGTGTATGCTTTGTTCCCCTTGCCCCATCAAAAAAGCAATCCAAGTAAACACAGATAAGCTATCTTTAATCCAGACACAGTAGATCTTAAAAACTACAATATTTTAATGCAAAATTTGACAGATCCTTTCTTAAACAGTTAACTTACTGATATCTGTAAAAGAAGAAACAAATTACTGACCCATTTTCTCTTTTCTCTGCATGCTAGCAATACTGCTTTCAGCTTAACCCACTTCCTAGCACAGACAGTGCTGCAAGAACATCCCTCAAGCACTGGACCACTCATATTTCTTAAAGATATTTCCAACTAGTGGTATTACTGCAGCTGGATAAATAGGTTCAAGAAAAATCCCAAATTTAATGGAACAGATGTAGTAAAGACAGCTAATACATTTAGAATCCTCTTCATGAGAGTCAGTAAAATGCAAAGGTATGTTGTTTTGCTACAGCTGTTGGCTCTGCAGTCCACAGAATTACAAGACCCAAGAGATAAAAGAGAGATTAATAGAATCACAGAATCATTTAGGTTGAAAAAGATCTTTAAGACTGAGTCCAACGGAAAACCTAACACAGCCAAATCCACCACTAAGCTATATCCCTAAGCACCACACATAAGAATCATTTAGGTTGAAAAAGATCTTTAAGACTGAGTTCAACGGAAAACCTAACACAGCCAAGTCCACCACTAAGCTACATCCCTAAGCACCACACATATACATGTCTTCTAAACACCTCCAGGGATGGTGACT